ACACTTACCGTTAGGAGGTCGACAAAGGCGGTTGAAACTGCATGGAGTGCAGCTTCTTTGTCATCGCTACCATAATCTTCAGGCGAATCGAACTTTTTGGAAAGAACATTTTGCCATTTGAACTTTTCCACCATCCGCATATTCATTACTAACTCGCGTTTTTCGTCTTCTGTCTTCTTGTCCACCCCATCGTAGAGAAATGTGTTATAGAACTCATACTTTAGTCTTCCATCTTTGTCATAGTGTCGAATCCAATCAACTATTTCACAAACAATAGTAAACATTAGAACAGAGCACCAGCAAATCACAGCAACAAAGGCCGAATGAAGATCCACCTACAATAAAATTTAAAACCTTAGAGGACAATTTAATGAAAATAGTAAGTGAAAGATAATGGTAGGCTTTGGATAAGCAATCCGCGGTACATTTAACAAAGTGAAATCTTGGCTGTTTATTAGCAAGAAACACAAGGATGCTTACATAGCTGTGGTCGTTACGAAAGACAACGACCTGCCATATTGAAAGGCAGTAGAAAATAAGCTCCAGTATCATTAGTAAGAAATGCACAATAATCAAAGGTCCCAGAGGTTTCCGCTTTTGTACTTCCATAACACCGCCTCTGCCACTTACGGCAGCAATCACGATAAACAGGAGGATATGAAGAATACATATCACAGCCGAAGTTATCAAAATACCCTACAGATAAGAGACAGTAGTTTATTAAAATTCACCTTGAACTCGGCTGGACAAACAGTTTGTAACTGTTGATTTGAGAGAAGCAACGCGCCAGCAATTACGACCCTAATTTGAGAAAGTGTTGTGAAAGATATACATACAGTATAACTCTTATTAAAGCTTGTACGATACTAGATATGACGAATTCGTCTTCTGAACGTTTCCACGTTCGTTTGCATACTTTCAAATGAGGCATTTTGCACAGTTCACCACGATAACGGACATTTATAGTTGAAGGAGGGTATCTTTCGAGGACATTTGTGCGATATAGAAAATGTGTTGCAATAAAAGAAATAAAAGCACAACTTCTTGGTGCACATACTCTTCTGTCAAAGACAAACTTTTATCACTTTGTATTAATTTTTTTAGCAGGCAGA